GGCTTGCTGTTCTTAGCCAAAACTGAAAGGATGATGAGGACAACGTCATCAAATACGATGGCACAACTACAATAATGACAGGACCAGTGTTACTACTGATGATTCAATTTAGTTATATCAATGGAAATTAATTCACAATACCAGGAAACAGGAAAAAAGTAGGTAAACATACAGAAGCATATATTGTGTTACCAGTAAACACTTATCCAAGTGTAAATGTAAGCGCTGCCGTGGAGTATTCGTCTGTATTAATCTCGGTTTGTGATTTAGGCAAATATGCTTTTCATCAAATGTATCTATTAATCTTACGGTTCTCAAAGTAGAATCTGTGAAAATCCATTCCCTCTACCAGGTTGCCCAGGGCCTCCGGCTCAAATGAAGTCAGTCCAGGGTCGCAGATCTTACTGAAGAGCACACATGAGCGCATTTTAAAGATGCCAAACACTAACTTTAAACCACAGAAACGACATAGTACATACAAAAAGAGACTCACGCGTATGCCTCAAAGTCTCCGTTGTTGATGGCCTCTATCAGCTGTTCGGTTATCTTGATAATTTCTTGCTTGCGTGCTGCAGTGAACATGTACGAGCAAAAGTTATTCAGAGGCAAACACAAGAGCCATCAATGTTAGCTCATTTAACTTCAGTTCATTTAAACACAGTTTTAACTCATTTAAACCAAACAGATGCTCAGGCAAAGGCAGTTAGCGCAGCAGCTACGCTAGAAAAACTGAGAAAATAAATAAATGAGCAAAGTGTAGCAGCAGCAGGTTAATTCATACACGCCACAGAGACACATACAAGAGGCCGTGTGATCATGTGATCCTGGACACCTTAATATGAGCACACACCAGGCTTCTCTTTATATCACCACAAACCGTGTCACCTATATATTTAAGGGCATAACAGTGAGTCAACACACACAGATTCCCTGTGCTGTTAGCGGTGCTCTCTGTGGCGCAGCACACAGGAGGTTAATAAGCTCAGAAGTAAAGTGCATCACATTAAACACAAAGTACTTCACTCCATATACACCTGTTCGCACAATCAGAACACAAACTACCAAACAGGCGCCCTGTGAAATCCTAACACGTCATTTGATAAGGGCTCCTGACTGGATACCATGCACAGGCTTGGGGTTTGGCTCACTCAGTACTCACTCTGGGAGGAAGACAGGGGAGGGCTGGAGGGGGAGTGAGGGGGAGGTGGGGAAGTGGTGTGTGCATGTGGAGGTGTAGGCCTGGCACTAGGTACCGGCGCAGCATCGACTTCAGGCGCAGGGGCCGCCGGCACCGCCGGCGCCCTGCGAACGCTGCTTACCAGGTCTGTGAGTCGAGACACTGAGTGCAGTCCAGGCAAGATGGATGGATGGGTGGATGGGTGATGGAGGAACGCATAGAAACAGATTAAAAACATTGTCAGAACGTGGTAGAGACAAGGAGAAGAGAGGAATGAATAAACAAGGAAATCCCTTCAGGAACTATAGTTCACTATAACAGTACAGTAAACTTAAATTATGCAGAGTAATTTTACAGGTAATCATAGATAGACCATCATAGATCTGCAAGGTTTAGCTGCCTTTGTACGGCAAGATTACATATAAAGTCTTAAGAATAATTTATCATCAGTCTGACATGTTAAAGTGCACATTTATTTAAACAATTAATTAAATGTGTGAAATGTAAGAAAGCTCAAATTTAAAAGAATGTAACACTGAACTAAAAACATGTCAGGATACAAAAGTAATACTATGTGATGATTATGCAATAAATATTGACATTTTTAAATTAAAAAACCCTATTTGCACTACATATATTTTGAGACTGCATTTTGAGGTAGCTTTAGACCAGGGGTCCCCAATCCCAGTCCATGAGGGCCGGTGTCCCTGCAGGTTTTAGAGCTCACCCTGGGTCAACACACCTGAATCACATGATTAGTTCATTACCAAGCCTCTGGAGAACTTCAAGACATGTTGAAAAGGTAATTTATCCATTTATATCAGCTGTGATCAATCAAGGACACATCTAGAACCTGCAGGGACACCGGCCCCCTTGGACTGGAATTGGGGACCCCTGCTTTAGACGGATAAGCTTTATTTATATCTCTCCTGCAACTATAAAGGTTATTTTAAAAACTGTTAAAGGGACTGCAGAAATATCCAGAAAACAGCTGTGAAAAAACAGCAGTTTTAAAATTCCTCCTCATCTTTCCCAAAATAGCACATGAAAATCAGATCAGTATCAGTGCATCTTTTCATGCATCATCTTGGCAATAAATGAGAGCAAGAGGAAGATGCTAACTTATACATATATTTCTCATTTAGTTCTCTCTGTCTGTTGTTGCTCTTTTCTACTTACTCTGCATGGGGACTACCGGGGTGTGTGGAGGGGAGGGGGCAGAGAGGGCAGAGGGAGGTGGAGTGTTGGCTCTCCCTTCTCCGTCAGCTACGGGCCCTGATCCCCTACGCACTGAGCCCAGCAGGTCAGCGAACTTTGCGGCAGCTGAATTTAGGAACGAATGGACATGAGGAATGACACTTAAATGTAACCGCATGAATGAAAGTTTGTCTAGGAGAGCACTAAGACAAGCAGTCCTCTCAGACTAATGTGAAAAAAAAAGATCTATATTTGTTTACATGAATATATCAAATGACACATCATTTGATGTAGCGCTAAGGTGCTGACTACATTATCAGAGCTCTTCAAGACAAAGTTAAACTCAAACAAAGACAGTGAAAGAAACATAAGACAGTGTTCATGCCAAGAACTGGAAAGCAGTCGCATTGTGTTGTTATTCCATGAACATCCAATTGAGGGAGACAAAGAGTTGTCCTAATCCCATGTGGTGTAGGTGGCACAAGGTGGGAGGAAGGGACGGTAGAGGAGCGATATGCTACAGAGCACTCTGCTGGTTTATAGAACTTTTCCCTTTTCTGTATTTAAGTTGTTAATTTCAGACTGATGCAGAAATAGAGACAAGGCTTTCTAAGTCAAGGCGTTGCAGGGATTTAGTGGCTCTACACAGCAGCAGATGCATGCTTTTAATATAAGCGAGGACTGTTTTTAATACAAGCAAAACACGCAGAAAGTGATTTAGTCAACTTTTCGAATGCGTTATAGGCATTTGGCGGCCATGCTGACTTACAGTGCACAGCAGCTGAGGAGCTCTGAGAGCTATCAGGTTGGGAGCTTGTGCTGGACTGCGCCTTAAGCGAGCTGTTGTCTAAGCTCTTCCCTAACACACACACACACACACACACACATATATAGAGTGACACCAATCACAAGAGAGATGAGAGCCATATTCATACTTTGCACACAAAATCACAGGAATGTCCCAGTGAGGAACGGTTGGAACTACATATGAGATGGCATGAAGGGGGCAGATGAATGTGATGAGCGCAGTCTGTCTTTACTTTTTCAGAAAAATTACTGCTACTATTTGGCACAGCCGTCTGTCAATAGATTGAGCAAGAGAGAAAAAAAGAAGAAGCTTTTTTCTCGTTATCTCAGTTAATGACTCCATTTTGGCAGGATTTACAACTGCGGCTGCCGCTGCATGAGAGGTTTTACTGAGACTTTAATGGGAGTCTTGCCAGTAAGCAGAGGACGGATGATGACAACAGTGATGGCCATGATGATAATGAGAGAGAGTTGGATGTTACTCATTATCGCTTGTCTGTTTAATCAGCTGGCACGCGAACAACTCATTGACAAATAGAGGGAAAGAAAAGGCCCCTGCAGGGAAACAAGGAATTTGCTGCCACTGGAAGCACACCCACTCAAACACAATTACATGAAATTCACAGACCACCTATTAAACAATCCACACCTTCTGCAACAGTAAATTTGTCAGTGTGCAACCAACAGTGGGTGACTGACAAGCGATATCTCGGAAGTGCAGAGCATAAATATTCCAGCGATGGACAGTTAATTCAACAGATGTCAAATAAGAAGAATACTGGGACTAATAAATTAACACCCAATAACCCTTCAAATTCTAACACAAAAACATGTAAATTAATGACTGAAAACAGCAATCAGCCCTCATGCAACATATTCTCTTCTACAGACTTATTGAGGCTAACAGAACAGATATGTACTCAGATGCTCTGAAGGCCAGTGCAGGTGTTGGGTTACAAGCCAGCTGTCGAGCACTGACCTCACAAGAAGATCCTATAAAGCCAAGCGAGAGACAAACTACTCCAACCAAACACGCCACACTCACCTGGTTCTTGTAGTTGTCTCTGAGCAATCTGAGTGTTAGCTCCCTAAGAGCCCTCGAACTATTGCTATCCAAGGGTGGCGCTAGCCGAGCGGTTCGTCTTTAACACCTCTCCGGGAGCTCCGTCTCGGTTTCCTGCCACTGGTGCTAAGTTTAGACAGCTCTCCCTTTAGCCCAGACTCCCATCCAAAGGTGTCCTAGCCCCCTCCACTTCTGCCAGAGGGGTGGGGTGGTGGCGCTCCAATTTAGAGTAGGGGGATGATGCAGGAAAAGTACAGTAGTATACAGTACTTCCTTTGTGCATAAAGTTTTTCCAGGCGATACAATGTTCTGTCAAGATGCCCTACCTTCATAACGTTTGTTTTAACGCTAACGTTTAGGCACATCATTTGACATTGGATTGGATTTGACTAAGGTGCAGTACAGAAATACTTCCAATCAGTTCGCTGAAAGATTTCAGACAAATGAATCAAAGCGCCAAAAGACCAAATTTACTGGAACTGCATAAATTTTTTTTTAAAAACTGATGGATTAAAAAGAAAAAATGCTATTTATAGACACTAAACCTACACCCTTCTTGACAGCCAGCAGGGTGCTACACCTCTGTTTATAAAAAGGGTGACTGGAGAAATGTATGATAAAATTACTTCTCACTTGATTTATGACTTCAATAAACACATTTCTACTGATTTTATAGTCTCAATCATAAATTAGTTTCATGTAACATTTAGTACAACACATTAATTGACTTCAGAGCCATCAAAGTAACATGAATCCTAAACTGCACACCTCTGTATGAACCGATCTGACTCCAGGAGGATATCTGGATCAGGATCAATTATTGATATTTTCTCGAGAACATCGAGATAATGTCTCCCAACTTTTCTTATTTCAACTTAATAGGTATTTTTGAATATATGAAGAAAGGTTAAATCTTCTTTTGAAAAACTTTTAGGATGCATTAACTCGAAACACTAATCACTCCCAACTTGGTGCTAAAATTTTAATTCAAATCCAGCAAGTTGGAGCAAGTTTTGTGCTGGCAAACGCCCTGTACTGATCACATCGCTTCCTTGGCAGAGGTAATAAGCAACTATAATAAAAGCATTTGGAGTACTGTTTCCAACATTTTTTTCTACGAGACCTACATGATGGCTCTTCTGCGGTTGCTAGGGAATTTGTGACATAGCAGCAAAACCTCTATAGGGAGGAGGAGGAGGACGGTGAGGAGGAGGAGATGGAAGCGCACATCCTGTTCTGTATGCTTGGCACCAAAATGAGACATTCATGACCCGATTTAGATGCATTGTACTCAGCTGAGATGTGGAGAACAGGGGTGTTTGAGTGTGTTGGTATAGATAAGCTGAAATTATGCTTTCACAGTAACACAAGAGAAAAACACACACCGAGTGGACACAAAAGGCTAGACACAAAAACACTTTGTGGAGTTATTTGCTGATATGTGTGATACGCCTTTGAAAGAGTGTTTTTTTCCTCTCCCGCAACTCTAGCCAAGTGACACACGCACACACAGCCACAACTACACGGCTCCAAAAGCTGACACCCCACACAGGCATGTTGGTATTTAATGGGTGTGTGCTCCTCAGTATTAAGATTTCAGCCAAACTCTATTGAGCCAAACCACAACAGCATTACAAGGCCTCTTACATTTCACAGCCCTCGTCTCACATCTCAAACACACAAAATCATAACCATACATGTCTTCATTATAGAGCTCCGTGAGGAATCAGTAAGAGGTTAGACGTGAGCCAGATGACTAAATTAGAGCTCATCTACTGCATGTGCACCACACATGATGTGCATGTAGGACTCTTTTTAAACAATAAACCTTTTAGTACATATAGCATGTGCTGCTCAGCCTTTTGCAAAGCAACAGCATTTTAAATAAATCCAGTCATTACGCTCTTCATTCCACTCGAAGCCACTATGAACACAAAGCCGGTCGCATGAGAGTTTGTCAGCAGTTGGCATCAAAAAAACATTTCTGCCCCGAGGCTCGTGATAATACAGTCTAATAAACAAGAGAAGCTCATGCAAAGCAGAGCATGTAAGTATTAAGAGCCTCCCTAGACCCTCAGTACATTTGACTGTAATTTTTAAGCTTTTAAAAACTGTAGCAATTTCATAAAGAGGCATTCATTCAGGTACAATTATGTCAGTAACAAAGAGCAGCTTTCACCGCAAGGAGAATCCATTTTCCCAGCAACTAAA